AAATAAGAATTGATTGAAAGTGTTTTCACAGAGTGTAGGGAAAAAAAAGGCTTTCTGGTGATACCACCTAAAGTACACATTAGATAAATAGAAAACTATTGGCTTTGTGACTGTGAACCGTTTTCACTTGATGTAAGTGCTGATAGATACAGGATTATATCTAACAAAGCATTTACTAAGGACCTGACCCAAAGTCAATAGGAGTCTTTCACTTGACTCTACAGGGCTGGGATCCTGCACTCTCTCCAGGGAGAGCCAGGAGGTCTCTGTGTTTCCTGTGCCCATCTCTGAGCCGGCAGGAGCTGGGATAACACGGGAGCTGTGGGAGGGTACGTGGGCTGAGCAACAGCTTTGGGACCCACCAGGGGTTACACTGCCCCTCTGTACTGCAGGAACACAGCGCCCTGGAATTATGAATGTTCACTCTACTGTAGGCATCTTATCCATAATTTAAAAAATAAAATAAATTAGCTCATGGCAACAGGGTTCCTGCACTTACCGTCTGCCCAAGGAGTGACACAGCAGGCATGACCTTTTCGTTTGCAGGTCCTGGGTGAGAGACAGGAGGGCAAACACCAGCAAAGGGACCACGTGCTGATGAATGCCATCCTCTCTCTGCTCCCACTACCGTACATTTAAAAATAAGGATGTGGAGTACCAACCATCCAGCAGCACGGCTGGAGAGCTGTGAGGTGCTGGCTCAGAGAGGCATTAAAAGTCACAGTGCTCTCAACGGTCATTAAGCCTTGTGTTTAGTTTGTTAATGCTGTCCTGATGAAGCCTGATGTAAATTCACAGGGCCACACGGTGGCTAGTGATGGATAATCCTCAAACTAATAGAAATCTGAAGTATGTATGTACATGCACGTTAATATTTCATATATTACGGAATGATTTGAAACTTGATGTGATCCAAAGCCAGTCTGGGAGAAAGGGAAATACTGGATTAATTTCATTTTATTGTTCTGTATCAGTGAGTGATTTTCCTTCCACTGATGCATGGCTGGTATAAAATAGGACAACAGCAGGCCATGGAGAGTTAAAATACTAGTCCTTCTGCCTGAGAGCTAATGCTTCAAATCCTGTGTTGCAGACAACATGGAATCGGATCATCTCAGGTCTCTGCAGAGACCTTTCTTACAGGAATAATTTAGAGAGAGAGAGATATTGCACAGCATTTCGGTAGCACCTTCCTTTTTCCAAATTGGTTTTGACCAGTGTTAAAACCACCTCATTTCCTGAAAGGACTGGCAACATGCACAACCTGCATGAAAGTCCCTTTGTGGCTGATTTGAAAAGCCAGTGCAGGTGCTTTTCTGTCGTCCAACAAATATCACAGATAATTGTGAAAGAAATACTGAGGTTGCCTCTAAAAGAGTTTTAAAAAAGACTGGAAGAAGATTGAAGAGAAGGAAACAAAAAAATCAAGCATTTAAAAACCAGCATGAGAGCACCATTAACCATAACACAGTAAACTTTAGTATGGATGAACAAATTATGTATTATTCAAAGGCCTTGAAGAACACACAGACATAACCACCTACTGACTGTACAGAATGGTTCAATACCACTGTAAACGATACGGCACAAAGCACATTATTCACAGTATAAAAGTGAGAGGATTAACATTATAAGTATCTTGTATTCTTATTACATTTTTATAGCAACTGCATGAAGTATTAGAACTGAAAGAATAAACTGAAAAAAAAAAAATAGACTTGAAGTAGTGGTGGGACAGAGGCGGTAAAACCCCAGAAACTGGCATCTCTGTTTTCATGACAAGACTTTGCTTTTGTTTTGCTCTCACTGTTGCTACTACATAATTCATTGGTGACTGAGGCAGGTTTTAGGACAGTGTCTACTGAATGAGCAGCAAGGAATAATTTATAACTTCAGAGGTTGCCACAGCCTGGACTCACTCTACTTTTTTAAGATGAGGCTCCAAAGAAAAAAGTTTGCTGGACTTGGCAGGAAGCGATGCTTGGGAATACATGGCAACTTCCCTCTCTTCATAGTACCAATAACACAAACTCAGCCTCAACTTCAGGAGGAGGACTGCATATGTGCATCCTATGTACTATGATGGTGTGCTACCCGTGATGAGATCTCACAATGAGAGGACGAAGGAACCATTTATCACTCCTGATACTTATTAAAAAGGTTAAGCTGACTCCCACGTATAACTATATTCTCTCTTAAAGAGAAAAAAAAAGCTAGCTCTCCACACAGTCCCACCCACGCAGCCCAGTGATGTCCTGGAGCAATGGCTGGTAGGAGTGGAAGGCAATGCAACCTCTCCTCTGTAACATGAATTCAAACTGTCAAAGCATTAGCCTTGATGAGGTGTTTCCTGATAAAATTGGACTGAGAAACACCAAAAGTTTGATTCTGATCCCATTAAGTCACAGGTTTGGCCTATAGTATGACCAGGTTCAGCTCCGTGAAATAGCCATCAGGTGGAGATGACTTGAGGTAATAACCACAGATGGGAGTCAACCTGCTACGATGGGATCGCCCAGTCCTTGTCACCTCTCAAAGGTGATCAGTCTGTTTGGCTGTGAGTTTATTGCTGTACCTGATCATCCATAGGTTTTTAAGCAGTGGATCCAGCAATCCTTCTTAATGATAGATTATGGTTTCAAATTGTATACAGTATAAAATCCAGTGTGAGATTAAACAGTTTTAATCCTTTCAGTATGGTAGGTAAAGAAGGTAAAAAGTTGCAGATGACCTTTTGAAATGTCTTCACGTATAAAAGAAACAGCAAATCCCAAATCTTCATGTGAGTTGAAGCACTGACGTCAATGGGACTCCCACGGGAAGTTTTGGGAGTTTTGCTTTAGTGAGAACAGAACCACTAAATAGGTCAAAGTTTTGACTTAAAACAGGTCAGTATGTCAAAAGTCACAAAGCAAAGTCTAGGATAAAACAAAGGCCAAGGAAAATGCCCCTTTTATTAATTTTTACGAGGAGCACATTGGGCTTTTGAACTGTTCACCAGCCATCTACAAAAGAAGCTATGGGCTGACTACAACAACTAAACTTGAAAGGGGAAGACATTCCTTTGTAGTTCATGTCTGCTGTCTTTGAAGTCACTGTGAGTCTTACCAGTGACTTCAATGGGACTAGCTTTGCACTTTTATATCAGCCATTGTTTTATCCTTACTTCTTTCAAAATTCCAGACAATAACATTTCTTTTTATTGTAATCCTGACAGAGCAATTAGGCTCCAGTCCACACCTGCACCCAACTTTTTTTCTTAACACAGCATTCTTTGAGCTCCTCTTCTCTGAACAGAATTATGAGATCTGAATTAATGGTGTCTCTCTGCTCTCTCTGGTGCCTCTGTTTTTCATGACCTGCTGAAGAACATGAAATTCTTCAAGGCTTGTACAGCTGATCTTCGGTTAAGACCAGCTGTAGGTTTTACCTACGGTTTTATGAGTGTGCTCAACAGAAAAAGAAGAGCTTCTTTTCATCAGGGTAATTAAGCAATAACAGAATGACAGAATATGGATTAAAGTGTAATCATTCACAGGTGCATTCATAGCGTGTTTTTAGTCATGAGTTCAGAAGCTCAATCGCATTCCCGGTGTAACAAGCTATGAGTTACTGCTCCATAATTTAAACATTTGAAAGCATTTTTGAAATACTAAAAGATTTTCTTTCTACCTTTAATATATAAACCAGATATGTACACACCACAATTACTTGCTGAGAACACATGAGGTTTTCATCCCTGCAAGGCACCCTGAATCTCTCATGTTTTTAGTGTTGAGTGTGCAAGCCTCAGAGCTTTGTCTACACATTCCACTGTGTCCACTAATGCTCCCCTCTAACTTTGGGCTACAACTGGACCAGACCATGCTCCCTTGCTGAGCCTTTGCTGCACACATTTGAGGAAAGGCACCCAGAAGAAACCATTTTTCCCAATGTTTGCTTGCACAGCTCCTCCCTCTCACTCACTTGGGGGGAAGCTGAATGCCAAACCACAGACCCAAAGAGGAAATGTTGGGTGCTTCCCAAACCTGCAGGTTCACCACTATCCCTGGAAGTCCAGCCAAAGCAAGGATGAGGACAGCCCAGAGCAGAGCCCATCTCAACTCTAGCTGAAATGACCCCTGGTTCTTCAAAGCACCTTTGGGATGTTATAAACAATGGCACGAGCTGTGTACCAGAGAGAACAGCGAGGAATTTTTATGAGCTATTCTGCTTCACAAAGCTGCTGCACGGGGGAATTCTGCAACACAGAGTGGCTTGTTTGGCAAGGGTAACTAATGGGATTAGTGCCACTTACTCCTCATCTTTCTTATGCAATTTATATTTTGCTAAGCACTTCCAAGCCATGGCTTTCTCCCTGATTGCTCCATGTTTTCACCCTGCCACGGTGGCAGTGGAGCCCTGGAGAGGAATATACCCTGTGGAGCTAGACCTGTCTTGAAACCCAGACACAAATAACATGGTGTTTTTCCTTCAGCAAAAAAATCCCCATGACAAGAAACTGCACCAGTGATTTCAAAAGATAAAGATTTTTTGCCTAGCTTTTTGTAATGTTTGTTACAGGATAAGACCACAGGATTCATTTATTTATCTTTTTTTTGCCACTGACTAAAATGACTAATTAAATCAAAATGAATGGCTGTTGTCCTTTGAAATATTTATGATTTAAAACCAATGTGGCAAAGGGGGAGGCCCTCTGAAGTGACGTAATTTTGTCCAGTTATTTATGAAGGGCTTGATCCTGCCACAGAATCTGTTATATTTATCTAAGTGCCTGTCCTGTACTCCCCTTTTTGTGAGTAAATCTTAACATAGCCCATGTGCACAGAACTGTGCACCAAAGTAGCAGTCAAGGTGGTGTAAATGTATGCTTATGTTTATAGTTTTTCTGTTACGTTAAACAGAGAACACAACAAAATTCCTATGCAGAATCTATAGACTTTAAGCTATTTACTGGATGGTACACAAACAGAGACATATATACAGGAGGAGCTACTTGCCATCAACACAGGAAGGTCTGTTTCTTGTAGTCCCAGCCACTTTCCCAGGTAGACAGGAGCATTTTACTGTTTGTGATCTTTCCTCAATTCGATTCTTATTACAGCATCTGTGTGCTGCTATAACTTCACACGTTCCTCCTTCTGGCAAAAAAGAAGAAGAGAAAAAAAAAAAAAAAAAAAGAAAAAGAGAATATTGACACTCTGATTAGGAAGAGCAGCAGTGGCTAATCAAAGCACCCAGGCGTGCTCCTGTCTGTCTCTGCACAGCTTCTATACAGGTGGGATTACAATGTCATTTTTCCCATTATGTGTGCTCCTGAATAAGGCAGGTGCTGCAATACTTCAGTTTTAATAGGAAACGCAGATAAATGTCCCTCTACAGTAGATATAGCTTGCCAATCCTAGATTAGAAGCTTCTCTGACATCAGCAGAATTTTTGGCTTAAAAAATGACTGTGTCAGGGTCTGGGCCTGAAGCAACGTAGGTAACGTACTACAGTAAATGTGCAACAACTGTTGGTTGATTTTATGCTTGTAATATTGGAGACCTCTTCCCTCAAATGTTCTCTCGCACAAGGACAGGGGCCAAGGGAATCCATGTAGAAATAAGCTTTTTCTCCAAATATTTGATTCTATGCCAGTACTCAGCCCTTAGGGGATGACAATCAGCCTCTCCAAATTACAGGATGGTCCAACAGCACTCCCTTTGCTGTCCCACTTGCTAAATTGGCAGTTTTAAGTCAGGAAACCTTCCCATTGTGTGCAAGACCGCCAGGTTTAATTTGTCTTCTCCCTAATTGTTCTTGATGAACATTTGCAATAGTTTGATTAGGTGGAGAACACAAAGAAGTGATAGACCAATAGATGGTGGCTTAGATTTTATGAATAACTGGTTTGTGGCACATGCTACACACAGAAATGAAGTGTCAAGTGTATTATTCCCACTCGTCTTCGCAGAGCAGTGCATGGAGATGAGACATGACAAAGGGCTAATGCACTGCCCGAATTATTTCTTGATTCTTCAGTTCAGATTGTATTTAGCTCATAATCACCAAGTATTTAATTAGTGCCAGTCTGTTCCCTTCACATGGTTGGCTACTTGATGATATTGTGGCATAAATTTGGCAGGATTTGTTTAAATTTAGTACAAAACATTGTACACAGTTTACTAAAGACCAGATTATGTAAGAAGGGCAGGGAGGAATCTCCCTTGACTATATGTCTTTAAGGTCGTATGGTGGTGTGCCACCAGGTGTAACCACAGTATTAAGCGGTACAACAACCAGCAATGAACAGGGACTCCGCAAAGTGTGGAAATGTTTTCTAATATTAAATTTTCAAACCACTGACCTTCCTGGGTGGGTCGGTGGATGAAAAGCTGTGAATGTCCATTAGGGTAAATGATCTTAGGTTGCGTGGTCATGGGGTTAAGCACTGATGAGTTTGCAAGCCTGAGACAATAACTCTGCAGTAAATATTTAACTCATCTGGAGAGAAGTGCTGCTTCATATATTAATTATTAGGTGTATTTGGCCTGCTGACACAAGCTTTTTGAAAGCCAAAAGGTGCCACAGAAGAGAGATCCCAACAATTCAGAAAGCCATCATCTGACAAATGGTCTTTTAAGTGTCTCTTGGGAGTAAGAGGAATTGTGACAATTAACTTGGCCCCTAACGCTTGTATTTTTCTATGAAGTAATTCTTCAGATAAACTCCCTGCTCCCCCATCCAAATCATATTGAAAGCAATCAAAAGATTCTCATTGGTTTAATTTATCTTACGGTCATGCCCTAAGAGAAGAAAGATTTGTGATTTTATTGATTGCAACCTCAACAATAAAGATAATGCACGCAGTAATAAGCATTCCTAATTTTAGACTACATAAACTGTGTGGTAAATATCTGTGAATAAACTAAATGCTTAATTTTCTCTATTAATTTGCTGTATGAGTACTAATAACCACATGAGCTAGTCTTGCTTATTTGGTTATCTATTCAAATAATGGGCTGTGGTGGATGAGCTTTATAACACTTTCAATTGTTATGTGGAAGCTCAAGTTGCTGCAACAATAAAATTTAACTCAAAGTGTATAGTTGTTTAGGAGTGGCAAAACATAATGAAACTACAAAAGCAATGAAAAAACACCTTTTTTTTAAACACTAGACAACTAAGTACATTAATTGGAACTTTTATCTGCATGGATTATACGGTAATGTAAATAATAATAATAACAATAACAAAAAGACCCTTCCTAGTGCTGACACAAAAGAGAAAATTCCATCTCACGTGGAGAAGGCTATGCATGTTACACACCCTGTTTTCCTGGAAAATTTGTTTTTTCCATTAAAGCACTTTTAGCCTATGAATGATTGTTGGATTGCATTGCGTGCAATGTGTTTTGCTGAAGCATATTTTACCAACCATGCATATACATGTTAGACTTTATAAAAGTTATACACAAAATGGCAATAGATAGACGTACCCAGATAAATACAAACAGACACAGTGAGACTAGGGAAAAACCTCACTGAAAAAGCACACTCTTGACTATGTTAGTCACAGAAAGGTATATATCAAAAATATATTGGGGTGTGTGTCTGTTACCACTTAGATCTGTATTTCAGCTCCACAAAACAAGCTAGAGCAGGGAGAGGTACTTGAGCCAACCATCAGTTTCCACTGAAAAAAATTTAACATGTTCAGACATATATGTGAAGTATCTTTTTATTTTGTGATTTTTAATTTTAATTTCTAACTTTTTTGGGGGGGGTGGTGGTGCCAAGAAATACTGTAACACCAATATATGAGGACTTCTGCTCCTGACCCAGTGTTTTTTTTTCCTCAGTGCTTCATTTAGACTATGGGAAGACCTGCCAAGATGTTACAGTGCTGGGAGTCCTGAAAAAATGTGAATTATTGACTGGATAGGCTGTGAGTGCAGCAGAAGTTAAAATCCTTGTCACAAAGAATAGAAATGTCTTTTTTTTGGAATTTTATGGTCGATTGAGCTAAGGTAGCTTCTGGCTTTGTTTCCACAATAACAGCCTCATCCAACTCATTGAAGTCAGTAGTGGATTTGCCATTGATCTTAAAAGGAGAGGGAAGGGCCTTAAAATCCTCTAAGTAAGAGTCTTCTGAATGTTTTGTTGACAGTTACACTTTATGAAGTGGCTGCTTTATCCACCTGGTAAGAAAGATAGCTTATGTTTTTTAAATTCCTTCCTGCCTCAAGAAAATAAGAAAAAAGATTAGAAATTAAATAGGAACTTGCAAATCAGGAATAGCTTTGCTCTTGCAAGAAGATGAATGAAAATGTTCTAACATGACATGTTCTCTTCACACCAAGCTTGACAGTAAGAACAGCTGACCTTTTCCAAGAGCTCAGTTCACAGGATGCCCTGAACTTGGCATGAAGGAAATGTGATGCCTACACCAAAGCAAGAGGGATGGAATTGGCTGCTGGGGAGGATTCTGGGCTGTTTTGACTCTGCTCATATTTCCTAGCCTTCCAGAAGTCTTTGTTCTGCACAGGCTTAAAATACAAAACTGCAGAAATTGTACATCATTCTTACTGTAAAACAGGAACAACCTTTTGTTACTCCTGCAAATGGTTTAATTCTAATTGGAGGACACTAAACTCCTGAAAACATGTTCATTTTTTTTCTCTGTTATAAAGCCACCTTGAGTTTACCCACTGCAGAGTGAAATATTTTATCATAAGTATGAGCCTACTGTGGGTGGCTGTGATTTAAAATATCTAATCACCTATAGGGTCTGAGTGCATGCCTGCCAGAAGCCAAAAAGCCATCTTATAGTCATCTCTGGTTTTTATATCTCTAGCTGAGAGATAATAACAAAACCATATTTTGCACCTCAAAATTATAACTTGCCTCTCTATTCTAGCCAAGCCTGAACTTACCAGTAAACAAACATAAAAAAGGCAAACAGCAGTACTGATTCGTGTTATACATTGTGGAAGTCATTAACTATGACTCAGGTAGCAAAACTTATACATTCTCTCTTTGACGGTGATGACAATTTAATAGTATTTGACTCTGCTGAGTTACATGGAGCATCCTGCAGCAATGAGAGAGGTTATTTATCAAAATGATAAACATGTTTTCATTTCCTCCTTGGCTGCATGTATGTGATCAGAAGTCTAAGGCCATCAAGAATTCACTTATTCTGGCCACCAGGCAGACATTAAGCTATTCAGGACCATCTGTGCTTGAAATGAGTTCCACTTAATGGACCTTCCTAGGGCAGGTCAGTCATAATGAATGCATGTGTGCATGAATGCATGAGCAAAGCACCACTTAGGTGAGACTTCTTGGGTTGTTTGGCGGAGGCACAGCCGGTTGATAGATAAGATATGCCTTTCTTTTTGGGGTCATACGCCCAGTGATTTTAGAATTCAGATCCTCTGTTACATTTGCTTCTATCTCATTGTCAACATGCCACGCAACCTAATCCAGTTGAAGGTTCTTGTAAGAACTCGTTCGTGTTACTCACCAAAAATTAGTGACACCCAAACAACTTCATAGGCTTTGCTGGTCAAATTCTGCCCTGTCTTACACCATAAGCAACCCACCACAGGAATATGAGCAAAGGAAATTATATGGACCAATTCCATCAACATTTCCAGAGAGTCCATAAGAATTATTACTGGTTTTCCTAGCTCTGTTTATTTATAGACCCTCAGATAGACAGTCTGTGTTCCAGTGTTGTCATCCTCTTTGGGGTCATATACCCAGTGATGTTATCCTGATAAATGCTTAAGTATGTGCAGATGTTGCTAGACCTGGGAGATCACAGAAAACTTTAAAGAGAATTGAAGTTCTTTAGACTTCAAGCAAATGTTTAACAACGTGACAGTAAAAAAATTCTTCAGACACTTAAAGACTTTCTGAAAAAGTGCCTACAGAAACTAACGGGTAAAAAAATTCGCACCCTTGCCACCTCATGTCTTTATATAAACATTGTAGAGAAAGAAAAGGCAACCACGTGATAACCATTTTTACATTTGCTAAAAAGAATTCGGATTTGGGGGCTGCAGTTTGAAGAGTTTGCAGTGTGAATAAGCTTTGGAAACTTCCCAGGTGTAATTAATACATTCATAAGCTTTAATCAAAATGTTTATGCC